GTACAAGTTTATCCTTTTCAGACCCAATGGGTGTCTTAAAACCTTGAGAAGAAACTGGAGCTTCCACAATTGAGTTTTGCATCTGTTTTTGTTCAAACTTTTGTGTTTCATCCTTTTCAACTTTGGTCTGAAAAGCTATAACTCTTTCATTTATGGACACCGTGGATGTCTCAGTACCTAAAGAAGAAGTTGAAGGCTCCAAAAGAAATCTCTGCTTTTCTTTATGGTCAACTTTTTGTGACTCTTCTTGTTCAACTTTAGTCTGTAAAATTCTTACTCTTTCCTTTATAGACCCTACAGGTGTTTCAATAATTAGAGGAGAAGTTGGAGACTCAATGATAGATTTTTGAATTGTGTCCTGTTCAGCTATTATTTGTACATGTTTAACCTTTTCAGACCCGATGGGTGACTCAGTAACTAGAGAAGAAACTGGATTTTCCACAATAGATCTTTGAATCTCTTTTTGCTCGTCTATTTGTGTTTCTATCCATTCAACTTTAGTCTGGAAATATCTTTCCTTTTCAGACCCAATGGATGTCTCAGTACCTTGAGAAGAAACTGGAGGGTCCACAAATGTTTTTTGCCTTTCTTTCTGTTCCAATATTTGTGTTTCCTTCTGTTCAAGTTCAGTCGGAAAAGCTTGAACTCTTTCATTTATGGACACCATGGATGTCTTAATAACTAGAGAAGAAGATGAAGGCTCTAAAATGGATCTCTGCTTTTCTTTAGGATCAACATTTTGTGTCTCCTCTTGTTCAACTTTGGTCTGTAAAATTCTAACTCTTTCCTTTATAGATCCTACAGGTGTTTCAATAGCTAGAGGAGAAGTTGGAGTGTCAGAGACAAATGTTTGAATCTCTTCATGTTCAACTTTTGTTTGTAAAACTTCAACTTTTTCTTTCATGATTCCCATGGGTGTCTCAGTGACTAGATGAGAAACTGGAGTCTCTACAACAGAGCTTTGCGGTCTTTTCTCATCAACTTTTTGTGTCACCTCATGTTCAACTCTGGTCTGAAAAGCTCTAACTCTTTCCTTTAAGGACTCCATTGATGTTTCAGTATCTAGAGAAGAAGTTGGAGGTTCAACAATTGATCTTTGTTTGACTTTATGTACTTCTTCTCCAGTAGGCTCAATAACTAATTTTTTTTCCATTGAGAAAATGCTTATCTTTTTCTGTCCAACCTTTTCTGTCTCCTCCTGTTGAACTTTAGTCCGCAAAGCTGTAATTCTTTCCTTTACAGACCCCATAGGTGTTATGAGAACTTGAGGCTCAACAACTGATCTTGGCATCCTTTCCTGATCAACTTGTTCTTTCTCCTCTTGTTCAACTTTGGCCTGTAAAGCTGTAACCCTCTCCCTTATGGACCCCAGTGATGTCTCAATACCTAGAGGAGAAACTGGAAGCTCAATGACTGAGGAGGCTGCAAGGCCACTCTCACTGAGAACAGAATCACCATCTAAAGACTCCTCAGAACTCACTCTTTCTAGCTCTCCCTCAGAGCTACTACACCTAGACAGCTCTCTATCTCTAAGTTTCTTCCTGATTGGTTTTTTGATATTTGGGGGACGTTTGTTGTCACATGTTAAAGCCTGCTCAGATTTGTTTTGGACAAGATCTTCTTGAGAACTATATGTCACAAGAAGTCCCTGTTCTAGATATTCTCCTGTGTTTATAATATGTTTTGTGACAGTAAGTCTATCTTTAGCCATCTCATGTTTTTGAATTTCTCCATCCTCTTCAAGAAATTCTTTAAACTTTTCCCCAATGGCCAAAATTTGCTGTTCCTCTAACTCTCCTGCTCTAACTTTCTCCTCATAAACGTCTGTAGGAAATGCTGCAGAGGTTCTGATGTCTGACATGTCAGACAGAAGGTCCGGACTTGCGAGAGTTGCCAGGTCAAGTGGTTGGTTATTTCTCATGAAGAATGTCTCAGTTGACTCAGATTCATCATCTTCGTAAAAAAAAGGTTTTTTAACCAAAAAGGGTAAACAATATAAGGGACAAATTAAGTGGGGAAGAGAGACACCAGAAAATGTTCAGCAAGATAATGCCATGGAAAATCCTTGTTTAGTTCACAGTGTAAGATGTAGAGGACAAGGCATAGAATAAGAATGTCTCAAAACGAAGGTCAAAAAGAAGATGACAAAGTCGTCCAGAAAAGATTGTAAAGGAGCAGAGCAGCTACAGCGTAAGCAAAGCTAAGAGAAGTAACAAAAGGTAGGTGGCATGTGGACAAGAAAAATAATAATCTGATCTCTTTGACCTTAATCTTTGCAGTCTAATACAAAATACTTATTGTAGAGAATGAGACACAGAAAAGCACAAACAGAAAAAAAGAAAGACAATACAAATCTTCACAAGAAAGCTACAGACAGTAATGTCTGACTACAAATTAAAAAGTTTAACTAAAAAAAGCCCTTTTAGAAAGAAGCAAGATACTGTACATTGAGAGGCAAACTTCTACAATATTTTCAGTAAGTTTCATATTTGTTTTTGTAAATGACTAGGTGCAGATTTACTTAAATATAACATCGTATAATATGTATAGTTTAAAAAGCAGTGCTGAAATTTTATGTAAAGAAATAGTTCAGACATTTTGAAATGGTGCACAGTTTGAAAGTTATGAACAAATAATGTCTTGCCTGTTGTAGCTTTAATCTCAGTTTGGAGTTTGGTTCTGACCAGACTGAGGAACACATTTTTGACTAGTCTAAATGTAGCCAAGACCACAGGTGGTTACTGCTCTTTTAAAGCAAACATTCATTGGACTTCATATGAATAGCTTTACACAATCATTTGTGCAGCAGTAATTTTTGAATTCTTTGGTGTTTTACAGAAAAAAATATCTCAGGCTATTTGCAAGGGCAAATACCATTAACACCAAGTAGCTATTGCACATCTTGTGCAATCTGGAGAATGTCTTTCAGAAATATAAAAATTCTATCTCAATAGTCATGCAATGTGCTGTTCTAAGAATGTTGTATCTGCTTTGGAAGTGAATATGTGCAGACTAGCTATTATTAGTACAACAGCAAAGTGCAACATGATCAGTATGGTACAGTTTGGTTTTGAGGAGTTGTTGACAGCAGCAATCTACTTTAGTCTCAACTCTGTCATACTAAAATTTTATTTTTCCAAACTCAGGTTGTTTAAAGAGATACCAACAAGTAAAATATTTACTGATTACCTTTCCATGGGACTCCACTTCCAAAATGTTTAAACTACTCTATTAGGATATTTGCAGATGTGTTTAAGACAAAAAATTTATATAAGTTAGAATTAGCAAAAGATACAATTGTATTTAATATTTTTATGGTCTCACAACTTTATTAAATTTATTTACAGAATAGAATAAGTGATGTGAAATAATGAAAAACTTAACAAATGCTAAATATCAGACAGTAAATAATAAGTGTCTCTAAACTTTATGCTTTTTGCTTTAGTGTTTCTTCAATATGTATGGCAACAAAAAAATCACACAGTGATGAAAACACAAAATAAAGAACAAACAATGTTTTGTTTGTTGAATACAACCCCAAAGTTAGAAATGTATAAATAATAAGAACACTTAGAAAAAGAAAATATAAATTGGAGATATAATTTGACCTTTGCAACTTGCAGGCAGTTATAATCTAATGTATTTGTCTTTTACTCGTATCTTTTATTTGCTAAAATAGGTTTGATTTTACTTTCAAGTCTGCAACAAAAAAGTGAAAATTGGAGAAATTCAGGACTAAGAATGAAATAAAATATGTAAATGCTTAATTTAAACAACTGATGTTAACAGCAGATTGTCATCATGAACAGGTATTAAAGCAGTTTTACATGAGTTTTGATCAGTAAAAACAAGTGGCGAAAATGTAATTTGTCAACAATTGTGTGATAAAACAACCTAAATATTTAAAACAAATTTTATGGATTTAATCAAATTGGCTAAATAAATACATAAATAGATAATAAATAAACATTACATGAAAATGGCTTTGCAGCACCGCTAAGATTTTATAAATTATCTGACAGATTTGTCATCATAACATACAGTAGAGACTTTGACTCATTAATTTTTTTTCTCGTCATTTGGGGGATAATTGCACATGTGTTGATTTTAAGAGACTCCATGCTACAGGGCCATCTCAGTTACTGTGCATTATGTGCAAACAACTGATTTTATCTGCGCTTTCGCTTCCTTTAAGCTACAATGGTTTGAAACTCAGTATGTGTGATGGGAGCTGTTCAGGATTTTCAATGGAAATAAAAAGAATCAATATCATTATGTTAGGATATACTGTATTCTGTCAAATAACAGTAAAACCTAAATACATTAGGTTTATGCTGTCTGCAATTAAAAAAAATTAAGCTTTATTTAGTATATTATTATTTATTTATTTGTTAAATTTTGCATTTTTATGCAGTCCCAATGGTTTCTTATTTGTGGTTGTATTTCTGTGCAGAACAAAACAAGTTATAAAGCATGCCACTGGTAAAACTATTAACAAAATGTAAAATGAGGGGGAAAAACAGTCAAAATACATTCCTTTGAAATCCTTACCACAAATACAAATAAATGCCATGATAAAAACCGGTCAAATTAAAGTGGATTTTAAACAGAATGATTTAGACCACAGATGATGATTAATTATAAAAATGAACAATAATAAATGCAAGGAGGAAATCAGTGGAGTCAGGCATGAAGGGATACAGCCATAGCATAGCTGCTATCAACCAACGAGTTAAACACACTGTTAGTACAGCAAAATAAGAGCGCAGGGTTAAGCTTTCTAGGATGTCTTATTTGAACAAACTTGATCAATAATTAAATCAGCCATATCTTGTGTCGGCACATTACATTTTGGCAGATTGTCATTTAAAATATAAATGATATGTTAATACATGTGTTAAATATTTCGTCTTCGTGTTTATATTTGCTATAAAAATTGTATATTTGCTCTTAAATGTTCCACTGTTGAGCTTAAGAATAGTAAAAATAAAACAACTTACATTTCTTGTCTGTTCTTTCACTCTGAAAAACAGGAACAAAAAGACAGATATAACCAATCTTTGCTACAATTCTTTATTCAGTGCAGTACAGTTTAAACTTTATATACCTCATCGTCTCCTTCTTGATCAGAGTCAGACTCCTGAAGAGAAGAGAAGAAAAACAAGGTATTGCAGAGCTGCAGCCACTGTTTTAATTTTTGCTTTGGGACACAAGATACTGTATGTCTTGATTCAGACCCACCTTTGAATATGCTGGCAGAGTAATGTTAAGGTTGCAGATTGCATTGTGATTGAGACTTCGGTACGTGCGTGGTTCCTTAGTGAAAGACAAGCGACCACATGGCTCCTGTGCCGTGTCTCTGATCTGTTCAACAATTTAACTAATTACTTAATGTACTGTAAGTTTGAGCAATTTTCATTTATTCTTACAGTCATACTTTAATAAAGAGCGCCAGTCTGTTCTCTTTGAAGGCAAAGAAACTGAACACGTGGTGCTGTCCACTCTTGGTAAGAGGTACCAGGTTTCCAAAGCAGTCGGCATAAATAGGCTTTCCCTCCAGGACCTGTGTGTGTGGACATGACAGTTTGTTAAAGAATAAAATAACTCATGTACTCCCCCCCCCGTGACACTGCACCTCAATATCTCTGCTGCGGGCCACTTCTGTGAAGTTCTCTTGCTGTTCTAAAGTTTTGTCCATCTTGTCGTCTGTCATGCAAAAGCAGCGCAGCCGGGCCTCGATGGGGTCCAGCGTCTTGGCAAAAATGACAAACTTAGCCATGTATGGGACACAGATGATTTCTCTGTACAGCTGAGTAGCAAAGTTAACTGACTCTTGGACCTGTCTGCAGTCTATCAGCCAGAACCTGGAAATATAATTGACATTTTGACTTAGTAACTGAAATATACTGTATGCTCAGGGTATATTACTAATCTGATTTGAAGTACAAGATGCCTGCCTCTAGATTTTAGGAGAACACTTGTTTACCTTGCTGACACATTTGTGGTGAAGGAAACACATTGGTTGACAAAGGTGAGAGGTGTGGAGCCAGTGATGTCCTCCCATTGGGCAGGAGTGGTTCCACCTGAAATGCAAAAGGTTGGCACTTAAAGTGTTTCGCTCAGCCAGTTCTATTTTTGCAATTTACACAAAGGGAAAACTTAGTATGAATTCCAAATGTTTTTAAACCTAGAAATACACACAAAACTATGACAACCATTTCACATTGCATTTCAGTCAGTCTATGAAATAAAAATATGTTAAAAAAGAGGTGATTTAAACTAAAACAAACAGTATGGGAACATGAAAATGTTTCTATTTTATACCTGTTTGTTGAAACATTACTGAACATTAACCACCATGCATACCTGTAATACTACAAAGCAGCCGTAAAGTGGGGGTCTCCCCACTGAACACGGCGCTGGGCCCGTCAGCGTTGGAGTTCTTGGGAATTGGGATTGTCATGGTAATTGGTTTATGGAACTTTCTCCGTCTCGGCTCAAGAGTGACGATTGGGCTAAAAATGGCTTTGTTACCAAGAACCTTCCTCACCAAATCAACATCGGTGGGCTGAGCCTATAACCAGATACAAAATGTGTTTAGAGCGTTTTGAAGCCATAATTCTGATTATTGCTTTGGTCTAATCCAGGGTCCCTGCTAATCTCTTTAAATTGATTTTGTTTATTGATATGCAGAATCTGTAGGCAAGGTAATCCACTTGTTGCACAAATAGTCCAGAAATACTGACACATGTGCTGATAATCATAGTCATAAGCTTGGTCCATTTCTTCATTGTTAAATGGACACAATGTATGTACCTGGAGCCCTACTCGAATCTTCTTGGTAAGTGCACCTTCAGGGAAGACGGCCTGGACCTGGGGCACAAGAATACTACTGAGGACACCACCCTCTGGACCAATCAGATGACTGTCCTGCTTTATCCGCGAGACCACAGCGAAATACTGGGGGAAGTCTCTGGTGATGATGCGGCAGATCCTTTTCTTCTCGAGCTCTTCAGGTGAATCAAGTTCTGTGCGAAGAAAGATACAAATTGCTTCACTACTTCCATCCTCGATGCTTTACTGCATTATCCTGGCAATTTAAACAAGAATCAACCCCTTTCTATCCTACTAATGTGCTGCATCCATCATTACAAAAACATTTGATCAAAGTTTGCAGTGAAAGTATTCACTTAGGCTCTGCCATATAAAATCAACACATTGGTCAGATTGGTAGACCCTCACTTTCATCCATGCCGTTGAGTATCTGGTTCAGCTCCTCCTCAGTGAAATCACAATGATGTTCTTTCCAGCTCTCTCCGGTCTCACTTCGCAAGATAACAAGCTCCCTCTCTGTGCCTCGCAGAGCCGCAAAGTGTGGAATCTCTACAATCACGGGCCTAATGAGAATTACAAAGTAAAAACAAATTCCGATTAATTTAAATTTGTTGAAAGTGATTTAAAATGTAAACACAGATAATATTGTGCTTGAGCTGTTAAATGAACAATACAAAATATATTGGATTCAAATCTGAAAATTTCATGCAAGAGGAAAAAACAGCCATGAAAAGAAAGTAGAAAAATAATAAACATAAAGAGCATTTATTTCACATCAAACAAACAGAATCCAAATAAATACAAGACTGGGGATTTATGCTGGAAATCATGAATAATAATAATAAAAAACGATTAACATAAGTTAACAAGTCAGGAGGCTTTAAATCAAAATAATATTAGAAAAATATAACAAGAATCAAAACAAAATACATTAAGTAATAAAAACTTTAACGTCCTGAGGTGAACAAAGTAGAAATGATATGTGTGACTGGGATTCCAAGATGGCAGGGTGCCCCCTCCCATGATCCTACCCGAGGAACTTTGTTCCTGGAGGACCCAGCTGCAGGATGCGACTGACCAGGCTCTCGCCCTCATTCAGAGGAGGGGGAGCCGTAGGAAGGTGCAGCTTACTGATCCCAAACGCAGCACAGAAGGGGAGTGGAGAAGAAAGTTTGAACACGCCACGCAACTGAGCAAACACACTCACGAACTCCAACCCAGTCTGTACACACATACGTGCACACACTGAAACATTCACCTACCCCAAGAATTGAGCTCCGGTGGGCCCCACCTCTATGATACGACCAGCAAGCCCCTCACCCTCCACCATGGGGGGCATCGATGCCAAACGGTGTCTCTTCACCAGCCTGCATGTGACCCGTGTGGGCGCAGAACACTTTCTTGGGGGTACAATGATCCTCAGGCCGTTGTGACGACAACCCCGCATCGCTCCACCTCTGGCATCCACCATGAAGCTGACCAGGAAGCTACAAAAACCAAACGACCACACAAAGAAATGCTTAGAAATACAACATTTCTGACAGCTGCTTAGTCCAGCAGTGTCCAATCCTCAACACTGAGGGCCAACATCCAGTGTGTTTTAGAGGTCTCCCTGCTTCAAGACACCTGATTTAAATAAATGGGTGATTTACAGGCTTCTGCAGGGCTTGAATTCATTTACTGAGTCAGGCGTGTTGGAGCAGAGAAACAAGTAAAACATGCAGTATAGTGGCCCTTGAGGACCAGGTTTGGATACCCCTGGTTTAATCCATCTGTGATCCCCCATGCAAACCAATTTAATGAAGCAGAAAACAACAGCACTGATTTTATGACACAAGAAAAAACACTGACAACATATGTTGTTTGTGCCAACAATTTGGTCATTTGTAGCACCGCAGTATTATTCAGTGTTTTTTGAGTGAATACTCGGAAACACTTACGTAAAACAATTGAAGGTTCAAGGTTAAAGTACTCAAATCTACACTTAGGGTTATTAAACTTTTCGGACATTGAGTTTTAAAAACCTGAACTAATGTACAGTATATTCATATAAAGTCATGCGTTTCTGAACCATGCAGAGAATTAAGATGAGAATGAGAAGGTTATCAAATTATGATTGAGGCAATTAGTTACAAGCACAAAATAAAGATTATCACCTGCTGTTGTCCTGATCTAGGCATGGAGAGGAACGGCTAGAAGCAGAATACAACAGCAACGCACACACAGACGTAAAACCAAGAAAAAATAAACAACCAAAAAGAAGCAACAAGAGAGTAAACACACAGAGAGAAAGAGAGAATAAAGAATGAGTAAAAGTTAGAAAACCTGACCGGACACAAGAATACACAACAGCAAAATAAACAAAATAAAAGGCAGGAAAGAAAGATGATTTCTATACAAATAACTGAAAACAATACAAAGTAAAGATGGAGAATTTATATTGAGACAGAATGATTATTCTGAAAACCCAAAAGTTTATGTTGGACAACCACTGACACAAGCAGTGCTCCAAATTATTTGGTTCAAAAATGAACTTTGTCTTTCTGGTGCGCTGGGTAGAATAATAGAAACAAATAATGTAGGAAGTCCTCTGAAATAAGGCACTATAAACTAAAACGTTTTAGTTTTAAACAAATTTTATCTAGTATAAGTGAACCTTCAACTTTGCATAGACATAGAATCAGTGTGACGCCACTTGCAATTTTTTATGTAAAGTTAAAATGAATTTTAGTGTCAGTTTAATCACTTTGTCATCGTGAGATGTTTTTGAACGTAAAAGTGAAGCTTTGATTTCTGCAGCAATTACAAAAAGAGAAGCAATCCCACAAGTTAGGAGTGTTTTTACTCAATCACACTTTTCAGTTTCAGCCACTTCTCTGACTTGTTGCTGCACGTAGATAAAGCAAAACCACATATGCTCACAAACATGAATTGACGTACAACTCCATAAAAAAACCAAAAAATAACAGAACCAGATGGACCGAAAGCAAATACTGCAAGGTCTCTGATCATAAGGAGGGCAAATAAAGCTTGACTTGAAGACTGTGTATGTGCCTCCATGACGATAAACTAATCAGGCTTATTTCCTGGCAACCTTTAATTTAATGTTTGCTTTATGCTTGAATATTTGTTTGAAAGATGCTGCAGTAGCCTTAACGACTGATGTCAGAACAAACAATGGGCCTCATGCAAGAACATGTTCGTATTCTTATCCTAAATTTCTCTTACTTTTGTTCGTACAAAGGGTTCGTACGAACATGTCACGTCAGATTCAACAAACTCTTCTATCTTCAGGAAAAGTGTGTAAATGAGCTGCGTAAATTCCACCTGTTCTATCCAGCTGCTCGTGCACGCGAGAGGAGATTAGCATAATTACCACCCCAAAAACACCATGTAAGGCTATGTTTCCTGCCTCAGATACAAGGAAGTGTTCATTCATGAAAATGGCAGCAATAATTAAAAAGAAGAACTTTACGAGTTCAGATTTGAAGTCCGTCTGTCAGAGATCCAGAAAAGAAAATCTGTCATTTTTAGCAGGTCAGCTGTGGGATAAAAAAGAGCTGCTAAAAGTATAAACAACTGTGCTAAATCATAAACCCCCCCGCGCGCGCTGCGGTGGTCTCAGATGCGGGTTTGAAATAAGCATTTTAAAATGTTTTCAAAATAAGTCTGGCACTTTGAAGAAAACCCAGGACTCGCTGGAGGGATTATATACCTCCTCTGGTCTGGGAACGTCTCAGAGTCCCCCAGGACGAGCTGGAAGGTGTCCCTGGGGAGAGCGGGGTCTCTCCTGCTGCCCCCCTGCCGCACCTGATAGCGGATAAGCCGGCCGGACGGATGGACAATTTATATTGTTAGTCTAAATTATTACATTTAAAATTATAACTCTAATTCAAGCAGAATAACCTATTGTCAACATAATTATGGAGTGTGATTTATTTTCAACTCAAAATATCTTCAAACTAACGAAATATAAAGTTATTAGGGAGGAAAACCCATCTGGATAACAGCAGACTGACTGCTCGTAAAATATACGACAGGTCTGGACCACTCGTAAATTTTGTTCGTATCTGAAAAAAATCGTAGAATACGAAAACATTGGTGAATGCCACAAATTCTCCTAAATCACTCGTACGCACAACTTAAGAACAAACCTGTGCGTACGAACGGTTCTTGCATGAGGCCCATTATGTCCAATTGCTGCTTAATATTCTGATTTTACAAAATGACATCTCATTGAACATGTGTATCCACTCCAGCACATCTAACCAGTATGAGTGTGTGTTGATATACCCAGAATGCAGCAGAGTAGAGGACAGCACAACATTATCGAGATGTTCAGCACCCCAGCTCAGTCGGAAATTTTCCTTGTCATGCTCTCGAGACAGTGCTGACACCTAGAGGTTCACAAACATCAATGAGTCAATTGGAGCAAGAAGGAATATCTAAAGGAAGTGAAGTTGCAACATCGATTTTTATGCTTTTTTTCTCACCTGCTGGCTTGTCAGTATGTCTTCAATGAGAACCCCCTCTCTCTGGTGAAAGCTCTGGTGAACAGGAGTGTGCTGAGGCCTGTTAGAAAACCACAAGTCTTAACTGTTTAATAGGTTTTTATTTAAGTGGAACTGGTTGGACAACAACAACAAATGTATATGTTACCATTTATGGATTTAAATGTGCATTTACTCTTCAACAAAAGCATGTGTGTGTTGCTAATGACCTGTCCAGGTTATGGCTCATGTAGCTGAAACCGTCCAGGTAATGTCCCGGCAGGGAGTCGTCTCCCAGCTCTCGGAGGTCCTCTGCTCTCAGGTACTCTCCTCCATCACCTGTCATCGTGTCCTCGCCTGGAAAACACATATTTGTGCTACAATACAAGAATTCGACAAATCTAACGAGAGGTTAAATGTTTAATGTCAGCTTGTGAAACCTTCAGAGAGCCCTTTTGAAGTATTTTATTGGCTATAAAAAAACAGTACATTCCGCATTTTTATACTGTATATAAAATAATAATCTGTGATTGGTAATGAGAATTTCCACAGTTCTGAGTCTTTAAAGCAACAGTTCAAATTGTTGAAAAGAGGTTTTATGGAAGGATTATAAACAATTAATGCTCTACCTGTTGTAGATAGCTCTTCAGAAAACCTCAAGTTGGAGCAATAATGTTTAGTTCTGAGCAAACCGATGAGCTGCAGGCTACCCTTCCACAGAACCTCACTTCAAAAGGTCTGAAATGTCCCTTTAAAATTTTTCATGCAGTTAGTGGTCACCAACACACTTCCCTCTGAGTTTGAACTGCCACTACATAAATATAAGGGTAAAGGGTTTAAAGCGGTCTATAAACTTCACAAGAAGACATTTCCAGATAAACGAGTTTGCAAACTGAGATTCCAAGCATGAGAACAAGTTCTCACAAATCTCTTGTCAGTCATTGTTACAAATCCCGACACAGCAAGCTGTCAGAGCAGACATTTCGCTGTACCTTCCAGTGCCACAGACATCTCAGACAACGGTTCATCCTCCACTTTCAGAGCTACGAGACATACAATCCACTTCTGTCAAACTACATGTATCATTTTTGCTCAAGTGAATACCACATTTTAGCCTAGATATGACAGACGATGACACTTAAAGGTGTTCTTCTTGTTTTGCCAATGAAACAGCGAGTTTTGACACAAACCAGGGCCACGATCTGGTTGCGGTCTTTCACTCACCTTCTTCATCCGACACATCAAGGATCTCAGTCATGGTCTCTGGAACATTGAGTTTGTGTTTCTCTGTCACCATCTGACACACATTCACCGTCACAGAAAAGAAAATCAAACAACAGTAAGAAAAATGCTACATTAGACTTGGAAAATTAAAAACAAAACATGCAAATGTCAGATATACAACTCTAAAGCTCACCGTCGTAGTGGTGATGACCTCCTCAGTGACAACTTTCAGAGTGTCCACCACTGAGATGTAGCCGAGGCGTTTGGCGATTGACAGAGCAGTGTTCCCATTCTAACAAACAGAAAGACATTTGGCAGACAAAGAGAAAATGAGAATCACTACACTTTACGTGAATAAATAGATGTTAATATATGTATTTTTTGTCTTACCATTGTGGTAGTGTTAGGTTTGGCCCCGTGCTCCAGCAAAACATTGACTATGTGTGTATTTCCTTGCTGTGCTGCCTGATGTAGTGGTGTGTAACCATTCTGTAAAAAATAAAACAAAACACCAGTAACCAAAAAAGAGATGAAAATGTTATTCAGTCACCAAAAACATCTACCATAACAGTAATATTAGTTGTATTTCAGAATGTGAGCTGAATTTTCATGATTCCTGTTTTAAAATTAAATACTACCTTGGTCTTGGTGTTGACGCTGGCCCCTTGCTGTAGCAGGAAGTTAACCATCTTGACATTTCCATAGTGACATGCCACAATCAGAGGAGTGTATCCAAGCTGTTCAGAAGCATAAAAAATATAATTTTTCCAGATATAACTAATTTGTTTCACATAGTTGAAGTTAGAACCCAAAGGGAGATGGTTCAGCTTAACATATTGACTGAAACTAGTCAGAGCTAATTTAACTAACTTAAAATGTAAACATCAAATCTGTTTTTAACAAAAAAGCCTCCTGATGTGGTGCAGATGGTGTTGGTTTAGACATAGTTATATTTCTATAAAACCCGTAGGTGTCATACAATCTGAGTCATCGTGAACACAAATAAACACAGAGGAGCTCACACAGGTTTGGTTCTTCACGAGCTTGTGTGTATTGTGTTGTTATGACTAGGATTGTTTGTATGGTTTTGATAATGCGTTTATGAGGACATGAAGAAGTAACTGCAATCATACTTTAGTTTGCTGGTCCAAGGTAGCATCATGTTTGGTTAGCACTTCTGCTGCATTCACCCGGTCTTCTTGGGCTGTGAGATGCAAAGGAGTCAGTCCATTCTGTAACACAGAACATAATTTTTCCTTGTGCATGGAAGTCAACAGATTCAAAGCATTAAAATAATAGTGTGATTTTTTTATGCACGGAGAAACAAAAATATTAAACTCTGTTTTGTGTTTGACCTTGGTGGCTGTGTTGACGTGGGCTCCCTTGCGCAGCAGCAAGCTGACCATTTCAGCGTGTCCTTCCTGGGCTGCCAGGTGCAGGGGGCTGACTCCCTGCTTGGTTAGGACGTTGGTCTCTGCACCATACTGCAGCAGCGCTAAAGCAATGTTTGTCTGGTTCTTTTTAGCTGCAATGTGGAGAGGAGTGTAGCCGTTCTGGACAGGAAGGGAGGAGACCTGATTAATGTTGTGAAATCAGAGAACATCACTTTTGCCTTTTACCATGTCAGACAAACTGTTATTTGAAAAGTAAGCTCAATCATTTTTTTTAATTATCTTTTGTCTGACCTTAGCAGTAACGTGAGGTGAAGCGCCTTTATCCAGAAGCAGCAGAGCCACATCCTGGTTGTCATAATGAGCTGCTACATGTAGTGGAGTTAGGCCATTCTGAGAATAAACATTCACATTAATTATAGTCTCATAAAGCAATAAAACCTTTATAACTTTCTTCTTCAGTTTCCTGCAAAACATCAATTCAGTCCTTTTCTGCAATAAATGTATAAAGTGGAATTATTGTACCTATTACTGATAATATTTCCCTAAAATCGACTTAGACTTTAGGAATCTGCAGGTGAAGATCCTTAGCTTACCTTGCCAGCATCATCTGGAATAGCTCTGCGTTGAAGGAGAAGTTTAGCTACATCAAGACTTCCATATTTTGCTGCTACATGTAGGGGAGTGAATCCTTTCTGTTGAGAAGAAAGGGAGAAAACACTCATTTTTCTTTTTACATTTCCCACGTTTTATTTTAAAGGAGCAATATTATGTGTTTCTCAGGCATGTATTTAAATTCTATACCATAATAATGTAACTATGTCACCTTCAGTTGTTATTAAAATGCTGTTCATTTGTTTAAACAGAAATTAAACTTGACTTCTCATCATATCTGTTTCTAAATGCCTTGAAATTGGCCTCTGTCTCTTTAAGAAACTCATTCCGCTTCTGTCCCGCCCATTTCAGCACCAGCCTGGTGGGTGTGCTCTGCGATGAGGAAGCTCAGCTTGGGGACACAGCCCAGAGGAGGAGATGATCCCAAAAAGGTGGTTCTAGTCCCAACCAGTCATTTTTGCTCCCCTGCCTGGCTGCCTCAGGACACTACAGGGTTTCTCAAACATGCATGAATGAGTCAAAGCAAACCTTTGGGCATGTTTTTGATGAGGGGATAACATTATATAACATGATATAAAGCTCAAAAAAGTTTATTTTTACATGATATTGCCCCTTTAATGTTTAGTTCCATCTCTGTCTGTAGGCATTGCTCACTACTTCACCTTGGTGGCCAGTGAATGAGAGGCTCCAGCTTCAAGAAGCACTGCAGCAGTTTCTACTTGACCCTCTCTGGCTGAAATGTGAAGAGGAGTGTAGCCGTTGGTGGTGGCAGCATCCGGGTGGGCCATATGCTGCAGCAGCAGCTGGACAATATCAGTTTTCCCCAAACGGGAGGCAATGTGGAGGGGAGTCTGATCCTCCTAATCGTGAGGAAAATGTGCATGTTAAATAGAGAACATGATATAATATAAATATCAATGTTATGGCTTTAGAGGCAGTGGGATTCAAAAATTAATAAATAAAACAATGGACAATGTCTCTGCAAATAGCTGAATGTAATGTTCCTATTTATCATAAACAAAAGAAAAGTGTTGAGTTCTGATGACTCACCCTGGCCATGGCATCCACCAACGCTCCATTTCTCAACAAACAGCGAACCACTTCCATCTGACCTGCCCGAGCTGCCATGTGGAGAGCTGTCTCACCACGCTGATGTACAAACACACACCATTAAGACACTGAGCTGCAAGAGAAATGTGTGCACAACTGCAAAAACCAGACCCTCAATGTGAAATAACTACTACTCACGATGTTGCGAACATCAGGAGAGGCTCCATTCTGCAGCAGCAGCAGAACGATGTTGAGGTGGCCCATGAAAGCTGCTACGTGAATGGGAGTCAAACCAGACTAGACGGACAAATGTAGAGAAAACAAAAGATTTAAGGGATAATATGAAGGAGCACCTAATATCCAGGATATCCTTAGAAAATAATAAAACACTCACCTCAGTGATTGCCTGGATGGAGGCACCATATTTAATTAGCAGCTCCATCACCTTCACTCTGTTCTTCTTACAAGCAATGTGAAGAGGAGTGAATCCATTCTGGTAGAAAGTGTGAAAAAAGATGTAGTTTCAGACCCTTTAATAACTCTTACACTGGCATTTCCATGATTATTTTTACTCCTACCAGTGCTCTGGCATTAGGATTGGCCTTCTTGTCCAGGAGGAGCTTGGTGACTCTGTAGTGACCACAGTGAGCTGCGACGTGCAGCGCAGTGAGGTAGTCGAGAGTAATGTCATCAACAGGAGCCGTGTGTTGCAGCAGGAGTTTCACACACTCGATGTGGTCTCCCTGGGCTGACATGTGTAACGGGGACAGTCCATTCTGCACAGAAAATACTCCATTTAGTTGCGGGGAACCGAAAAATTATGTTTTTTTAATGCTGTAAATGTTCAGTCAAACGCTACCTTGGTTCTTGCTAAAATGGGAGCTCCTCTTTCCAAAAGAAGCTCCACTGCCGGGTCATGTCCACTCCTGGCTGCACAGTGCAGTGGTGTCAAACCATCCTGTGGGATAAACATATGAGTATGAATCCATGAAGACAACACTAACCAGTAACTGGAGTACTCCAACAAGTGCTTTTTAAAACTAAGCTTTTGTCCAGAACTCAAATAAAAGTCTCACCCTTGTTTTAGCATCTATTTGAGCCCCTCGATCCAACAGCAGAGCCACCATGTTGGTGTTGCCTCTCTTGGAAGCCACATGAAGAGGTGTTATCCCATTCTGACAAAACAGTTAAAGGGATAAAGAAATGTTAATACTGTCACACAAAATATCAAATGATTTTCTTAAAAATATGATTTATTTAATAGATCTCATATTTCGCATTGCATTTAAATGTGTCACTCCAAGTAGGACATTCGTGTGAAAGAAAATGTAAGGTAAAAGAAATTTTTGAAATGTCAGGGGCAAATGCAGGTAAAAGATTAGAATAAAGAGAAAAAGTAGCAAATATTTTGCATTTCATGCATCAATGCACAAACTATCACATGTCAGTTTTCTTTTCAATCAAATGATTAAATGATTGCGACAAAGTCTTTGTTGCTCAGGAGTAGAAATGGGGCTCTACCCGGGCCGTGAAGTCAACAGCAGCTCCTCTGTTCAGCAACAGGGTGGAGACGTTCACGTTACCGTAGTGAGCAGCGATGTGTAGAGGGGTGAAACCACTCTGTTTACAACAGACAAGCAAGAAAGTACGGGTCGGGTGAGAGGATGGTGAAAGAAAAAAAGAAAGAAAGAAAGAAAGAAAGAAAGAAAGAAAGAAAGAAAGAAAGAAAGAAAGAAAGAAAG